GTCATTTTGCATAATCAGTGAGCACCATCTGGAACAATTAACGAAATTCCACAGAACTCGGAGGATCAGTCATATTGGCTTATTAAAGATCCTGAATTATAGGAGCAATAAATCCGTGGAAAAATGAAGCGTACCCCGGCCTGTCATCAGTATTTTAACTTCAAATACGCACGACTATTCGATAAGGCTGAAAAGAAGAGATTAATATATGCAAATTAAGTCAAGCATTTAAAAAAAAAAACCCAACAACTGTCTGCCATTTTTTTCCTGTCTCTTATTACGAGCCTTTATGTTTTATTCATACACCAGCTCACCTGTCATTTCATAAGCTCTAATATTATGGGGGTATTATTAAAGTGCGTAAAGTGGCGCTTTAATTGGAAAGCTCTGTTGCATTTTCCAATTATTTGGAGCAAATTAAAAGCAGATGCACATACTTTAATAAGGGGAATAATATCAGTTCCGGAAAATCAAAAAATCATTGTCAATTGCTCTGATATTTTGCAAAGGTAATACTGAAACATCTCTGTATTTATATCTCTCTCTCCAATTACCTCTTAATTGATCTTCCTTTAATGCACTAAAGAATAACTGATTGGCACTCTATATTATATTTAATAAAGGGCATTGTCATCCTTTTTTGATTAATATAATAGATATGGTAATGCAAGTTAACTAGAGGATATTGGATATCTGTGAATATTTTATTATGAGTAGTCCCTGTTTTTTAAAGACAGGGATGAAAATAAAAAAAGTGGCAAAAGTCAAGCTCCTAACCACATATAATACTTACAAAAGACGTTATCAATTTGATGTTACCATTTAGAGAGTCACAGCTCATATGACCACACAACGCTCATTTCTGAGACTTCATTAATACCCCCCCCCCCGCAAAAAGAATATATTCAAATCCGTCACCTCACAGATGTTGCAAACGGACTCTTTTTTCACACTGATTCCTTCGCTAATTAGGAAATATTTCTTTCAACCCATCAAGCTAAATGAAAAATAAATGACACCAAAAATCTGCTTAGCTTCAAAGAGGCGGTGGTGAAACAAAGTAAGAGGTTGAGAAGTCTAGAAAGACCCAACGTGTTAAAATGAGCGTGGACTGTCAAGTGAATGAAGGTTGCCAAATCTATGTGAATTAGTTTTTAATACTCTGGTAATAAATGTCAAAGCACCTGCACCTCAAATCCACACATAATGTGGCTGACGATGACAGATTCCCCGACATGTCGAGTCTCCTACGCTGGGATAGTCTTTAATGCGCTGGTCCTTTTTTTTTTTTGCATGTGTGTGTTTTGTTGGGAAGTGACGGAAGGTTTAATCAAGAAAGCAGGCAATTCATCAATCCTGAAGGAGCTGGTGCTACGAGCCTGACAGAGCGCACATGGTTTTAGCCCAGCTCAAACCTGGCCAGCTGTCAACATCCACACATACATATATGCGCATATGTGTGCATGCGGACTCCCCAACGATTAAGGTAAATCCAGCTGTCTGTTCAAAACCCCACATTTGCTCCTCAGGTCAACTCAATTAATGGAGAAATCCAAACAATATAATGCATAATTATATTGCATAATATATATATATATATATATATATATATATATATATATATATATATATATATATATATATATATATATATATATATATATATAATAATGCATAATTTTATAGAAAATATATCGATTTATAATATATAATTACAATTAAATATTATATAATATGTTGTATAATACTAGATATGTGTGTGTGTGTGTGTGTTCGATGGTAAAAACCTGTTAATTGGTTAACAGGAAGTTTCCTTACTATATACGCTAAATAAATGTAATAGATCTAACCTTACATTTAATGCACTTAAAGTTACAGATGCAGATGCAGAGTTAAATACTGTTACATTTACAAAAGTAATTATATTACAGTGAAAAACTGAGTAGGCCTAATACAGTGAAAAAACGTAAACTGACATTCCCAGGATTGCCTGCGTGACACTTTACAAGTGATGTATTTTCGTTGAAATAACTGTTTCTCCAACTGTTTCTCCTTAGTTTTCATGTAGGGGTTAGGGTTTTATATTACATCTAATGTTGTTAAATGAATGTTTATTGCATTATTTTAGTGTCATGTGTGTTACCATGATGGTCTTGTTACCACCTGTTTTTGGTGGTTGTCAGTGTATTACAAAGGTACAAAACATATATTAGTACTTCAATATGTTGATATATTAAGATTATATCAGTTAATGAAGTGGTTTTTTTTTACTTTGTATTTAAAGGGTTAGTTCCCCCAAAAATGAAAAATCTGTCATTTATTACTCACCCTCATGTCGTTCCAAACCCGTAAGACCTTTGTTCATCTTCAGAAGACAAATTAAGATATTTTTTGATGAAATCTGAGTGATTTATGCAGTCTTTGGGGGTCAGAAAGCTCGCTGATTTCATCAAAAATATAAAGAACAAAGGTCTTACAGGTTTGGAACGACATGAGGGTGAGTAATCAATGACAGAATATTCATTTTTGGGTGAACTAACCCTTTAAATTAAATCTTTAAAACCTAAAATGTTGCTACCATATTTTAGATTTCTGGCAACCACAGCTGCCGTTGCTTTTCCCCCCACTGAATTTCTTTTGAGTGCATATACACACATATATTCAAATTTATTATTATGTCTATCTTATTTATGTATAAGATATGATCCAAAAAAAAATCTACTTCATCAGAGCTGCTGCAGAAACGTTGATTCACATTCCCTCTCTACTATCTCCATTCAATAAAAATACCCAAATATCCACTCTATAACTAGACCACATACTGAACTGCTGCTGAGCTCGTCTGTGAACATAGTTACTGACGGTTACAGAGACGTTGCTAAAGGAGGATCAATAGAACACACTACTTGTGGTGACAGAGTGATGATTGGTGGCAGAGCATGTGTCTGCCTGTCAGTCAAATGGCATTACCATGGCGACATGGAGGCAGAATGCATCAGCCTTCGTGCTGACAGAACCTTTCCTTTCTCTTTGGCCTCACTTGAGAACAAGTCAATCTGCTGTCACTTTAACCACGTCAAAGGCAAGTGGCAGAGTTTAATGTGTCAGTCACTTATTTTAACCACTGAAACCTTGATATGATCGGCGTGCCTATAATCATGCAATTACAGTATGCATAAAATCTATACATGGCTGACTGAAATCTTTGAGGCTGTGTTAAAATCAAAGATGTAAAAAAAAAATTACGAGCGGAAAAAGTTGACGATCTCGCCTGAGAGCCCAATTCGTCAGTCGTTCTGACATAACGTCGAACGTGACTGGCTGAAAATAAACAAAAAGTGTTTCTGTAGAGAATCACCGATTGTACCTTTAAAAAATTATTTTCATGAGGCACGTGGAAATTTGTCTGATCCTTGACGAGATCGCAGTGCAAAGTTGATTCTGCGCTAAATTGTTCTTTTTTTTAAATGTAGATTTATGTAGCAAATGAGAATCGATCAAGTTTATGTCTATATTTTAAGACAAAGGACTTGTTATTGATTTTTCAGTTTTTTTCAGATTCAGATGGGAAATATCATATCTCAAGTTGGGTGTCCATCTTTGAGATAACCACCATATTTATAATGAAAGCAAAAATATTTCAAAATATGATATTATTCATATAATTTAATAAAAATATGTATTTGATACTACTGTAAAGCTTTATTAAATAACTATGGGATCTCATTCAATTCTTTCAGAATCTTTACTTTTTTAAATGATCTTGTTTCTGTATTTTTAAAACAAACATCTTTTAATGACAGTATATTTATTGAACAAAAATGAATTATTTTATATATCAAAATAAACCGAAAATAGTGCAAACTTTGCTAAAGTGATTGTTTTGAACAAGTATTAACTTAGACATTATATAAAACATTATTTAAGCTAAAGTATTTGTATAAATAACTTGTGACTTTTGCCCCATGCTGGTGAGCCTTCTACCCCTCGTGTGGGGTAAAAGACCCCCCTCGCCAACAGATTTTTAAACAAACCACTTTTATGATTTATTTTCACACAAAATCTGTTGCTCCATCAATGTTCAATACATTTTTTAAAAACAATCTGCAATCATAAACTATGGGAGTATTGAAAAGCACATTTTTCTTAGGGTGTGCCTTTAGCCCCATTGTACACTTTATTAAAAAAATGAATAACTAAAAATGAGAAATATATCGATAACACTTTACTTAAAGCCTTAATGTATAATGGATTATAAAGGTATTCATAATGTACGTTATAATGCATTATATCTTTTACTAAATAATTGAAACCAAAGTTAAAATGCATTATAATATGTGCAGATTCCTTGTTACATCTGAGATTGGCTGTTTGTCGTGTGCTTTAATGCATTCTACTTTCTAAAGGCGTAACATGAGTATAATAATATAGTATAACTGTGGTTACAATTATTCATGAGACAAAACAATGCATTATAAGGTCAATTACAAGGCATTATTCATGGTATAAAAATACTGCATTATATATAAAGGTGTTACCGAAATATCTGTGGCTCGTAAATTCACACCACAGGTGTGACCAAATGTTTCTTTTGGACCTGAATGTACCTCAGTACAGAAATATATCTTATCTTTCTCTGTACTATAGATAAGCTCATCCTCACCACATGGTGTCTCTCTCCAGCCAGAAAAAAAGCACACGAGCATGCCTTCAAAGCCAAAACTCAGTTATATTTTGGACCTAAAAGACAGATCTGCAGGACGGTGGTGGTCAGTGGGATTTACACAAATCTCATTCCCATAATGTTTGCATAGAAGTGCACACGTCGTGGTGTGACTGTGTAATTTTCCCCTAAACGTTAGCAATAGTCCTAGGGATGTTGCAAAACTTTATTCAAGACAATGGAAGGTTGTGTAGTGACGCTGTATACTCCGACACAACAGTGCTGACAAAATGTTGAACTCTCGAGATAAGATAAGTTACATTGTAGAGGGACTGACCTGATTTGGTGTATATGTTGTAGATTTGGTGTTCATAATCTGGCCTGACGATGTTCTTTTTAGTTGGACTGGCCGGAGACTCTGGGAATCGTCTAGGTAAGAGAGGCAAAACTCATAACAATGTGCAAAGACAGGAAATAATTAATACATATTTTCAAAAGAAACACTGTATTCAATGTAAAGATTCTAGAAGGAGATATCACACACAGTATTGTATAGAAAACTTTTTCATTCTAGAATTTCAGTGTTCATTGATATAACTGTTTATTTGCACATGCTGCCTGAGGAATTATGAGGGAATTATGCGAATCAGGAAACAACGCAAACACATCCTGCAAAATCTGTCATGAATGCAATTTACACTGTGCAGTTCAAAGTGTCTACGAAGTGCTAAGTTGTGAATGATGCATCAAACTGCTGAGATCTGGCATACTTTACTGGGACTGTACAATATCACTGCGATCCACACCTTAATCAGCTCTTTAAAAAGTTCTTAAAGCTCTTAAAGAGCAAGAATATAAATGTAATAGGAATCTTTGATGGTGGGTCTCCTTCTTTAACTACTGTGAATCACTGACTTCAACTGATCATTAACCTCCCATTTTCTCTCCCTCCATGTCTGTGGCTCTTAGGTGCCTGTGAGCGGTTGTCATGGAGTCATGGTAATAAGAAGAGTTTCCTGAGCCAGGATGCTATAAGACACACACACACACACACACGTTTGGTTTTCCATGTTTTATGGAGATTTTCCATAGACATAATACGTTTTATACTGTACAAACTGCATATTCTATCTTCAAACCCTAACCCTACCCCTAAACGTAGACATCACAGATTTCAGATATTGCCATATTTGTGGGGACATTTTGTCCCAATAACGTAGAGTTTACCACACACACACACACACCTTGGTATAGGTGGTTTACGGGGACATTCCATAGGCATAATGGTTTTTATACTGTACAAACTGTATATTCTATCCCCTTAAACTAATCCTACACCTAAACCTACCCATCACAGAAAAAATTCTGCATTTTTACATTTTTAATAAAAAATCGTTTTGTTTATTTTGGGTTTTGAATTACAAGGACATCGCCATGTCCTAATGTAGGGGGCGTGGCCTGAACCCTGAATACACCAAAATATTAGGACTTTGTATCCTCATAATGTAGGCCAGTGCACGCACACACACACACACAGAGATCAACAACAGCAACAGCCCAGAAACACAGTTTCTCTCTCTCTCTCTCTCTCTCTCTCTCTCTCTCTCTCTCTCTCTCTCTCTCTCTCTCTCTCTCTCTCTCTCTGACAAACACACACACACACACACACCGCATCAGTCCAAGGAGGGTGTATGTGGTTAAGGTCATTAGTGTCACCCTGCGTGGACAGCTAAAGTGTTGGACTTACTTTTCCTTGCAGTATGACACTGGATTCCTTTTATACCATAGGAGTGCTGATGAATCTAATAATTTTGTGGTAATGCTAAAAAGATTCTGCAAACCAAATTATCTGACCAAAATCCAACCAATAATTTACAATAATGAAATGTGATGAATTTAATTATATAAATATCAATAGTATATAGTAGTGGTAGTAATAACTAATAATAATAATTATTACTATTATTTATTAAATATAAAATATTTTATTTTATAATAAATGCTAGTCTTTAAAGCCCATCTTTCAAGTTGAAGATCCCTGTGAATAGATGTGTAGATAAATGGTGTAGGAACTCGATTTGCGTGAAGAAATTAATCATAAATGTGCATTAAAAAAGTTTTTTTAAAGAAATTGTGAGTAAAATTACTTCCGCTGTCAAAAACGCTCTGATCGGACGTGACGCAACGGCCGGTAAATCTCATCTCTTCGTAATGGAGTCAGCCATTGAAGAGGTTGCAGTAGGAGTTCATGTCAACTCTTCCGATGGGCTATTGCCGTATAATTATGAGCCACCTAGGCGAGAGAGGGGTCAGGCAGAGTTAAGGGGAAGGGTAAATGGACAGAGGAGAGAGATAGAGTTGTGGTGTCTGTGAGGAGAATCGGTGGAGAATTGGGCAGGTGTCTTGGTGAGTGACCACAGGCTATAGCTAGCTAATTGTGGCTAACGTTGTCTCCATGTTTATCACATTGCAGTATCTTTAATAAATCATATTTAGCAATATTGCTGTCGACTTTGTTGTTTTTCAAGCATCCATGTATATTGTCACCATCTATGCTAGCAACATGCGTCTTAAAATGTTTAATTTAGATCCCAGATTTTCCGAACTTAGCCGGCTGTTATACTACTCCCATAGTATTTCCGACGGACATTATGTAAATGAGCTCGCATGTACTGCGGAGTATGTGTATGAAAGCAGTTAGTGTTCCGGTTAGGACGGGAATAAGCTGTTCATGTAAATATAGTCATTGTTACAAGGATCTTTTATTGTCATGTGGACTGGGTGTAAGGCATGCAGATAAATGCCATTACCACCCGTTCCCGCCCACCGAATTTCTGACCATTACCACCCGTTCCCGCCCGCGCCCGCCGAATTTCTGACCATTACCACCCGTTCCCGCCCGCGCCCGCCGAATTTCTGACCATTACCACCCGTTCCCGCCGAATTTCTGACCATTACCGCCGTTCCCATCCGGTGTGTAGTGTTTTTCACATACCACCGTGTCTTGTCACCGAGGAGGCAGAGAAATTGCTTCTCTTTGCCTGGACGAAACGTATCCAAGCACGGAAATCTTTGTGTTTCTTGTTTGGAAATCGGTGGACCCGATGACCAGACAAGTTGGAGTGGTTGCATCCAAAACAAACACAAGAATTCACCATTGTGACAATTCAAACCAACTCAACTAACGTTATAACGATAACTACAAGCTCTATTTTCTGTACCACCTCTCAGACTACGTAAACCCACACTGAGAACCAGGGCAGCAACGCCTATTTGTTTGCCTGTCGTTGCGTCATATGACGCGTTCTCTGGAAAAGGGCGGTTTTTTGAGCCTAGCTTAGAATAGGTACACTTTTTCCTGAATTTCTGCCTGTGGGTGTTGTAAAACATATGTATTCTTATGTATGTCTTTTTAAATTGACATTTTCATACAAGATTCTGTATAAATTAAGTTATACAATTAAATTGAAAGATGGCCTTTAAATATACTAAATTTAATTGACCGTTCGCAAAAGCCACGCCCCCTAGTTATTGTTGCTACGCCCGTCAAACAAATGGTCAAACACGACCATAGACAGTAAAAGAAATGGACAGAGCGATCTCATTGGAACTCAGTTGAGACAGTTGAAGCCCACTTTTAGCGATTTTTGAGAACTTCCGTTCCTGACGCGCAGACTCAGACCGACTCAAACTAAGCTTGATGACGTGAGCAACCTGTCTGACAGACGTTAATCTTCTAGTAGCTGTGCGTGAAAACTGCCAACGTTAATCTTGCAGAGACGGGGAACTTGAGCAAAGAGTTCTTTGGCGTGAGTGAGCAGGAGTAAGAATTCCGTTGCTTTTATGGACTCATTATCTATGGGCTTCTCCCTTGACGGGACGTCCCCCCGATTGCCTGCGAGCTTCTCCTGCTGTCTGTACGGTAACTTCTGTACAGCGCGACAGAGTCGAGTGGTTATGACGCAATCGTTAGCCTATTTTTACTAAATCTGTTTCTACGGGGCCATAGTGTAACATAGAAGGTAATGGAGCCCTTTATACATTGTCGTGTTTCTTTAGAAATAAATAATGGACAAATGGAGTCTTTAAACGCCTCAGATGTAAAGTTATTCGCTGTCAAAGTGACGCAAAAAAATGAATGGGAGTCAATGGAAATGCTAACGCAAGTGAAGTTCTGCTACAACATGGCGGCACCCGTCCGGCTTCAACTTCCGGTCGATGGATTACCCCCTTGAACACGACCAGCGCGACAGATTGCCATGACGGGAAGAGGCATACCCCTGCGTGTCAGTGACCTTTTTTGGAGCAATACTTCAGCGATATCCTCCAGATCGAGGCAAAAGGGGTTACAGTATGCAGTGGAGGGATATATTCAAAACATAAAAATACGCAATGAAGGAGACACGACTACTATCGAGGCTAATGCTTACCGGTCTCAAGCTAAACCTGAGAAACCCCATGACCTGTTACCTCAAATTCAACCAGCACAGCCTTGAAGAAGATTTTATAAACTGGTTCAGTGGCTAATGTTTGGAGTTAGAAATATATAACTCGCGCTGCATATTTATTCATTTTGCCTCAGATACAGGATTATTCCTTTAACAAGCAGTTCATTACCACGGCAACCGCTTGCGTGTCATGCTGAATGCGATTTTCGTGTTTAAAAAGTAACTAAACATAAGAGACGGAAAGATGCAGATAACCATAACGGTATATTATTTACGGTTATTTCTATTCGTTACGATATTGATATATGAACTGATGTTGTCAAGTAAGCTTCATGCTTTCCCCGTTGCGAACGTGCACTAACGTTAGTCTACGGGTGCTTCACTGCTGCTCATTTTCCCCTGAGAATATCATGTTAACAACAACCCTTTAGAAAACGTAATTCCTTTGTGGATCCTCTTGATCTGGTTTCTCCATGTTTCTTTGACTAATCTCAGTGTCTCAGTCTCACGCACGCTGCACCCGAGTTAACCATGTTCGACACATTTAACTGGGAGTGGGGCCGTCCACACTGTTTTATCCATTGTAGGCACCGCTCACGTTGTGTTTTCGGCTTTGGAAACGGAAAGAACACAACTCCTCCAGACAATCTCTCGGGGTAACTAGTGTCCGATTTACAAACGCCGTAGGCGCACCGCTTCACCATCTTGCTTGGAGTTTGACGGACCTGCTCACATAGTAACGGTTGCTATGATGTGTGATTGGACAATGGCCGTTTTGTGGGAGGGGCCTGCGAACGGTCAATTGTAAACTGAACAAAAACAAATACTACTTCTACTACATGTATACTTGAAAAAATGCAATTTATTATAAAATGTTTGTAATAATATTAATAATAAAATTAGAATAACATTTGCATAAACAAAAGAAGCCTCTGATGATTTCAAGTCAAACTGCTTAACCATATCAAAGTTTTGGGGAAG